GCTAACACACACACACACACACACACACACTTATATAAATAAATAAATAAATGAATAAATAAATGAATAAATAAATAAATAAACACACACACACACACCACGCACACGCACACGCACACGAACACGCGCACACCCATGAGCACACACATGAGCACCCACGTCCTTCGCCTTCGGGCGAATACCCTAAACCACTAGACTGATTCTAAGTCGCGACTTCCAGCAGCGCTTTGCCTCGTTGCCAGAACCTCAGTCCATCACACTGGACATGGGCTTTGGCGAGTGTTAAGAGGCTGGGCGTACAGTCATCGAAGTCAAGTCAAGTCCAGGATTTCGTTTATGTGGCTTCACCCACCCCCCAAGACAAGACAGGCTGGACTCACAGAAAGTCAAAGATGTTGGATGTTGGTTTCAAGATCCTGAACGAATCCGCCCCTCATCCGCGGCCACTTGGGCGTAGCCAAGAGGTCCTGGCCCTTGTCTCAATGGACCTGGCGGCCTTTGTCCCTTTGACGTCAAGGTGAGGCCTTATATAGTGGACCTTGGTGGAGGGCTTGTGCATGCTTGTGCTATTATTTCAGAGCACAGGTGGATTGATTTTTTTGTATACTTTGTCGTGGAAGTCAGTCCGGGAAATGCTGGCTTAGCAGCCCTAGACCCCTGAAGGGAGATGTTGGCTGGGCAGCCTGAAGAAGATGTTGGATGGGCATGATGGGCCATTCAAATAAAATCAAAAGATCAAAGTAGGAAATCAACCAATCAGCAAAAGAGTTCCGGGCTGGCCCACCATACCAGCATTGCGTTTGCAAACGGGGGGCTGAGCCCCCCCTCCCTGCCCCACCCCCATGCCATTTTTGGTCATGTTCAAGCATTGTGCTTGCAAATCCGGGAAACACGTCTAATGCAACGCTGGGGCGAGTCGGAAATCACTCGGGCTACGGCCGAGTCAGAAAACTTACAGAACCCGGTTTGAAAAATTGCCGGCCCCAATAGGCCTCAGATTGGAGCCTTCGGTCGGGCGTGACCGGCTGGCCAAATGACGACTTTTTCGGCGGTTCGAAGGTCGAAGGTTCTTGCGCTTTCGCAGTGGGCCTCTTCGTTTCTACTTGCACGTTTTCCGACTGACGCCTTCCAGTATTCCGATTGGAAGGCTGTTTTTTGCAATGCGCACACAAGCATTGTGATACGGGGGCGCTCCAGGTTGTTTCTTCTTTCAAGGCCGTGCATCGTCATTAACGCCGTTCACGGGACAATCCTAAACCCTGAACTCTGGAGCTCGGTCAGATGGGTTCTATGTGCCTGTGTACGGTCTTGTACCATCTTGGGGACTGGCTTCTCGTTCCAAACTTCTTACATCCGCAATGATCCCAGAAGTGTCGGACCGCGAGAGTGCTAATCATAGATCACAGTCTGACGCCTTCATGCATTGTGAGGATGCCCCTCCCTCATCCCCTTATACACACAAGCCTGATGCAGCGCCCGATGCAGTTCACGGCAGGATGGGACTTGGCCTTCGCTCAAGCGTGGCACGCCCAGACCTCAAGAAAGGAAGCATGCGACAAAGGGCTGCAGGGATGGGTCCTGTCGGTTGGATGCGCGACTTAATGCAGAAGGTTTGGAGAAGGTCCAGGTATGACTCGACAAGGTCTGAATCCAGGGGATGCACGAAAATCTTCTTAGCATCATGTCAAGCTGCTCGCTGAGCCTCCTGTTTGTTGACGTTGCATGTTGATTGCAGCTCAGTAATTTAAGTACTTGGGCTATCTTGGACTCACGGACTTGGACTATCTTTTGGTGGCAGCGGGAGAAAGTGGCAGACAAAGGAAAGGCATACAAAGGACTGCGGGCTAGGGACCCAAGCTTTGGCGATGTTTCTGCAACCAGCGGGAGAAGCGGGAGTTCCATGTTTGACTCCTCGCACGCTCATCAGCGGAGGTGAAGGCAAGTCGGGCAAGTCGGTAAGTCTCCGAGTAGAAATGCCTCCCGCCATCTCTACATCATTGCTTCCTCCTAAATGTTGCAGTCATGGAAGGGGCGCCGCCCCAAATTCGCCGTGGTTACATCACGAAGCAGGTTCAGCAGTAGGGGTCTTGATCGTATTTCTCAGTGTTTTCAACGCCGTGTCCTGTGCTTTGCATGAGGAATACATTTTGAAACAGTTCGCTGGGGTTCGTCATGTCCCATGTCTGGGGGGATTCGGCACGAGGCATGGCAGAGGCAGAGGCGCAAGTGGCCGAGGTGGAGGCACCCGAGGCCGAGGCCTGGCTCGTGTTCGGGGTTTGTGGGTTTGTTGAGGGCTTGGGCTTTACTCTGGAAGCGGAAACTTCAAAGAAAAGGTTTGGGGCTACTGGCGCCGCATGGCACCGGGCAACCAAGTAGCCAGCAGCGCCAGACCCAGCACGGGCATCCAAGTAACCAGCAGCCAGACCCAGCCGGCATCCAAGTAATTCCAAGTAGCCAGCAGCGCCAGCCAGCAGCACCATGCCGCGCAGCGGCGCGCAAAGGCGCCCCGGCAAGTGCTCACAAGCGGTATTGTGGGTTGCTCCGCCTTTGATTGATGGCAACAACAGCACTAGTGAAGCGAGCGCAAACTTATACCAATAAATTCAACAGAAAACAAGCGAAGCAGAAACTGCAGGGGGACGCCAAGGGATCTGGTTGCAGTGTGGGTTGGTGTGCCCTCAGCACCCTGGAAGCCACACGCGGCCAAATCGCGTGGCGGCACTAAGCCAAGCTAAGCCTACAGGCGCACGCCAGCCCCGTACACAGCTTGAGGTCCGCAACAGTTAATGGGCCACTGGCATAATGTGGGTTGGGCCTCGAACCATCCGAATCAAGCCCTTGGAGAGAAAGTGAGCCCAGGTGTTGGGGTTGCATTTTAGGAGTTTGTGTAAGCCAGGGCCTAAAAGCCTCAAACTTATGCCGAGTCTTGTTTTGTGCTTACGCAGCGGACTCTTGGCAGGAGGGCCCAACTGTCCCGGAGAGCCGGGGCCCAAGGCTTCTTGTTGAGTGGCCACTCCAGGACTCCAGGGGATGTCATTCCTCATCATCCTTCGCATGTTGGCCCTATCCCAGGGATCCCCGGGATCCCCTCTCGAAGTGCTGTGGTACCAACCCTCAGCTCTTTCTGATGCTGGTCTGGGTCAAAATCTCGGAATGTCGTGTGTGGAGGCCCATACTTAAGGAATGAGACTGGGTGGCTATTATGTGGCGAATGGACACAAGCCAAGAGGCACAAAAAGGATGAGCCGTGGACCAAGCCCCAGTCGGAAGAGCGAAACCTCAAAGGCGTTCACGAGTTGGTTCCACATACGTAGCAGAAGTCCTGAGTTATTGATAAATGCTGCAGACATCCATCGGTGCATATAGGTGCGCACGACAGGTTCCATGGTTGTGGACTCTGTGTGTGCTGGGCCAAGGCACCGTGTCCATCGCGGCATGCTCAGATGCTATCAGGTTTAGATGGGTGCCCGATAGCTGATGTCTTCTGGGGCCATAGCCATGGGGTAGTAGAAAGTCGAATAGCATGGCTCATATGCTATATAACCATCCTAGACAATGTTCACTGTTCAAGGCTGCTTCAGTGTTCAGTCTGCTCACATGCCAAACGTGCATGCCCTTGCAACTGCCCCGTGGAAAGAAGCAGGTCGAATAGGAAAGTGAGTGGGTGCAGTCCCCGAACAATGCGATCAATCCACAGCACGCTTCTGTACTGTAGCGTTCACGAACAACCCCCTAGTACAGTAGGCCAGGTGATCCCCCACACAAGAGCAATCACGATCATCACGGCAGCGAGACGGAATTTCATTCCCGTATTCAAATTTTGTGAGCAGCTTGGCTTGTATCAGCTTGTGATGACATGTTTTGCAAAACATGGGCCCTATAGGGCCAGCAGCGTGTTATGACAACCCAGGGTGCGACCACCCTCGCCCATGGAGTCTAGCGCAGCACACACACAAACAACACCGACGCCTGCCCATGACAGAGGTCCAGGGCGCGGACCGGATGAAGGTTCCATGGGCGCCGGAGGAGTCTGAGGGCGGCTCATTATATGCAGCGGTTCGTTTCAGCCAAGGAGCCCGAGAAGACGTTTATGCGCATGTGGCTGCGTGGTTTTGAGGAGACGTGTGCAACGCTTCGGGAACGTACCGAAGCCCAGCTGCTTGTGGAGGGGCAGACCTGTCAAGCAGACAGGTGGAAGCCCAAATGCGCACGGAATGTTATTGTCAAGAATTGAGATGTAGAAAAAACAGTTCCACTAAACACATCCATCTGCCAGCCTGCGACAGAGACCATCGGTGTGTTTCTCGATAGCTTCAGTGGGTAGTACTTCAAGCCGTTAGGATCCGACTACGCTTCGGTAGCAGATGCTGTTTGACGTTCACACCTTCAGGATTTGGCTCACAGCTGCAAATCACAACATCCTTTTACCAACCATCCGCTTACTGTAACCATGGCTGCTGGGCTGCTTTAGGCAACTTTAGGCTTTCGGGTTTGTTCTTGGACATGTGCTTGGAACGGAGTTGCAAGGATCCTTCTCATCGGGAATGGAGCTGTGGGATGCTCTGGGTGGGTTTGGACTTGAACCACTTGAGGGGTCCTGGGCCGAAACATGCGACCCAGCTCCGATCAACATTCTGATCAAAGGTTCCAGAAGCGTGCAGCAGTCCAGGCTCCACAGTTTATAGGGTTCAAGCCTATCTTACTGGGTATCCAGGTGTTTGCAAACTCCATAAAACGCCGCAGGCGGTTGATCCTTTGAGGCTTCTGCTCCCCCAGATCCAACAGGACTGAAGGAGAATACATTGTTGAGGATGGCATCCAAACGCATGCCTGCACGTTTGAGCTTCGACACTCAGCACATGTCTCGAACTTCCACTGGCGCCTTCAAACCCTCAGCCTTCCTTTGCTACACAAGCAGCCCAGAAAAACCCTCATAAATCCCAACTTTATATAAGACACCCCAGTCAAAGCACAAACCACGAAGCACAGCTTGTGGCGAGGCTGAGACGCAGATCCCAACTTCCGCCGCTTGGTGCGTTTTCTATGGGGCAGGCATCATCGGCACGCTGGTCCTGTATGGCATCCTGCAGGACAGGCAGACAGGCTTTCAGGGTTTCCGGGTTGGCACTGACTTTTTGCCATGCGCAAGGTGCTATGTGCTCCGTTACCTCGTGTTGCCTGCAGACTTACTCCATATTGGTATTTTGCATGGCCACTTTAGCGTGCTGCATGTTCTGCAACAAAAACTTATGTGCAGCCCAAAGCGCTGACGAGGGAACCCTTCGTGCATCGATAGTTGAGCAGAATCATTATGTGGCTGTGTGTGGGCAGGAGGCTGTCAAACAACAAGTTTCCATGCATGCGTAAACAGCTAACCCTTGTCTGACAGGAGGGTATAATGACAGTGGCCTATGATGGCAACCTCTTTCAGTACTCGGTGTTCCTGGCCCCAGCCTTAGCGCGGGCCCGTGCGTTCGCACCCATGCCATCGGATTCCCGAGCTTGTTGATTCTGGGTTTAGTCCCTAGGCACCCTACACCCACGCATGTGTTTGAATGCAGTTCGTCCAAACCCCAAGCCCGCAGGTTCTTTGCAATCGACTGGCGGCGGTGGTCTTCGCCGTCTGCATGGCGGCAAGCAAGGTCCGGCTTCCAGAGCATGTTGCAAAGTTCATAAACGGAGTTTGTGCGTGGAATGTGCCATCGGGTTTGGTCCACGTATGCGCAGGGGTTGTTGAGTTTGTTTAAGGTGTGATTTTGTCCAAGTTTGTGTAGGTAAGGTGATGTATTTCCTTCACTAGGCTAGACTCTTGACCCCAGGCCCCAGCAGCAAAGCCTACTTTCCAACTTCAGGGCGAGTCCATGCAAAACGCCGCTCCTCTTTGGAAGTATCTCATCGTCTCCCTCTCCAACGTCTATGCCAGCTCCTGCGCTGTGGCTCAACGGGAGCATGCTACTCGTAGGTTGAGAGCAGGCTGTCTTTAGGATTCTTTGGGGTCATTTTTGGGTTTTGCAGCTCAAACAGCGTGCAGGTCCAGGCGCCTGAGGCTTCCTCCACCCCGAAGTAAAAATGCACTAGAATCTAGAAGCACATCGAGCGAAAGAATGCAGAGAACTCAAAAGTTATTTTGATGGTTTTCGCCAAAATCTTCTTGTATAGTAACAGTAAGATCCTAGACCCCAAAGCCTTCTCATGACCCCTACACTTGCACTGACACCAGACTGACACGTACAAACCGAGGGACATACTCGTACCAAGTCGAAAGCCCGAAGCCTTCCTTGAAAACGCAAACCAGCGCCCAACATCTCCAACGAATTGCCAGGCCAGTACGAGGCCCTGAAGTACGTGTCCTTTGCAGTTCAGATGCTGGGGAAGAGCTTCAAGATGCGCAGCTGCAAAGTTCGTGCATCCAAGCAGAGAGACATCGGTGCTGCCTCGACATTCTGGTGTCGTAGAGGACAACCCCGACATCAAACCCCTCAAAGGCACCCACCCATGTGTAAGCGCATCTAGCGCTGTGAGGCCAGTCCAGGAGGGGCTGAGAGTCAAAGGACATTGTTTCCCAAGACAGCTCTTTCTGCTCTAACGGCTGATGCGGCTGATGGTAGGATGGCGAGCTACGCGAGCTCGACATCTCAAACAGCTATGCAGTGCATGTTTGTGATCTGCCACAGCACGCTGAACTTCTCGAACCCCAAGTGCCAAGAGTAGACTGGATAGCCCCAAACGCTGACCCCAGGATGATGCCTGTTATGATCTGGGGCATCATCATCTCCGGCAAGGCGTACAGTGGAAGAGACTGGCTGGTGCCTCCGCACACGTTCGAAGGCTGTCCAGGGTGTGTGAGGCTTTGACTTTTTTGTGGAACAGGTTTTGACATGTTGGTCCCAGGCATGCTTGGCACAGGTCCAATTGGCTCTCTTGGATGAACAAACTTCATGTTCCATTGGCCTAGCATGGATAGCTGTCGCTCATCGTGTCGCACTTAGGTGGCACTCTCCGTCACTTTGGGCTGCACGGATGCTCTCATGAAATGGTTTATAAACTCTTTCTACGACCGCCTTTTTGTTGCTTTTTCTTGCTCTTGCCTTGTGCATGTGACTGGCCAGTGGAACATGAGAACGAACCGAGAAGCAGCTTAGGAGTTTCTGATGACGGGCCCGACCCATTCCAAGGCGGGGTTTGCACGGCTTGTCTCCAGTTCGACGATCGATGCCAACAGCCCTTTGCGGGATCCCTTTTTGGAAATCCTGCTCTTGTATTTCTTGTAGATGCTGATTTCTTTCAACGGTTTCGTGTGACGAACGCCGGTCTTGTCCTGGGATACTAAAGCCGAATACCACTCGAAATGCTGATGCTGATGCTGATGCTACTAATACAAGTACGGTTTAAATTCCTAGTTATAATTCAGAAAGAATACTAATACCCATGCTAATGCTAGTGCAAATACCAAGGCTAATACTTACAAGACTAATGCGAATGCAGTAGCAGTAGCCATTAATAGTCATCGTACGAGTAATGTTGTACATGCTCGGTAAAAAATGCTTCTTACGGGTTCCGAAGCAACTCCTCCTTTGATGACAGCTTGACGCAGCTAAAAATGCCTCTTCGTTACGGGTTCGCAATTCGCATGCTTGGTTGTTGAAGAAAGTCCTCATGATGGTGTGTTAAAGCAAACGTAAGAAACAACAACGAGGTCATGATACCTGAAATCTGAAAGCCAGCCACGAAAACCAGATGCCTGAAGGCCTAAAAGCCGCGAAGCCCCCCCCCCAACAAAAAAGAAAATAACAATCAAATCAATAGAAATAGAAATACTGGCAGATCCCAAGACATCCAGAGACCCTCCATTTTGATTTATGCCTACGGACACATGTCGAGCATCAGGTGGATGCTGGCAACAGCTTTAAGGGCTTCTTGCTTCTTGGCTGCTTCCTGGCGCTGGATGGTCTCACCTCCACGTTCCAAGAGAAGCTATTCAAGGATGGATTTCTGGTGCTCTGATGGATTGGTATGTGTTGGCACGTTTCAGGGGTGCCGGGAATTTGCGAGTCGTGTTCCGGCCTATACGCCACGGCCGTATTGAGCTTTGGATTCCTGGTGTATGTCGGGGATGCTGAATGAGGACGGTGAGAGTTTTCGATTCTTTGCACCGGATGGCACGGAGTCGTGCGTGTGTCGATGTTATGTAGGCCGCGATTTCCGAATCAGGCTGCTTTGGGTGCCGGTTCGCACTACATTTGTTAGCCTCATTCTTTTGGGGCATTGCCGGCAGGAGCACAAGACGACCAAGTACAACCAGATGCTGTACATCAACCTGCTCTCTGCCACCGTCTCCCTGATCACCTTGCTTGTGACAGGTGCAGTCAGTGGTTGTTTCACTGTAGCCATGGAGAGCAAACAAGGCATCCAGTGGCTCCCCGGTCACGGCAATCTCCTTTTTTGCAGCCTTTCATCTAAGGGATAAGTGTTTTTCTTACCCAGCAGTGGGTCCTTTTTTGGCCGTGGCTCATTCGTTTCCTGTCATAGCCAGATTGTCAACCATGGATGAAGGTTGTTTTGAAACAGTTTTTGAACGTGCCGCGTCCTCCGCCACGGCCCTACCCGGCGTGCAGAGGCTTGTAGGGTTTAGGGTTCAATAATATTGGAAGATATTGGAAGACCCGTTGCAGAGCGATCAGTCCATACAGTCATGTAGGGAGTGCAAAGGTTGTTTTCAAAGAGTCCACACCTGGTGGTCGAAGGGGGGCGGGGACCTGTATAACTACGTGGGTCGGATTTTGAGAAGGGGAATTAGGGGGTCCCATAACGAACCTCTGACGCCTCACGACACATCCCAACGAGGAACTACTTTACAGATGCTTCTGGACTCCACGAAATACTTGTTGTGCTCTGTTGCTCCGACCATGATTCAATGAAATTCTCGAGTGGCTCAACAAGTTCTCTGAAGGCGAGTTCGCACCCGCAGTGGCCTTCGGCTTTGCTCACCCGCAGTTCTGGCTTGCAAGGGGCTTAAAGCTTCGCTGTTGGCATGGCACTTAGTTTGTTGATATTTGTCCCTAGCCTCGCTTTCAAGCTTGCAAGGAGTAAGCCCTCCGAAAAAATGAAGCTGAAGAGAACAACAATGAGCCACCAAAAGTCTGAGGATTTGTTTAACCTTAGCCCCCCTTTACCACCACAGGGGACATGACGTGAGCGATCCACAGGCTGCTTTTTGTTTTGTCGTCAGTGGGCTTAGGATAGTTCAGGTCGTCCTGTCGGGGTCATCACATATCTTCGGTCTGTACGCTGTGCCATTATATATATATATATATATCTGTATGTGTACACATGTGCGTATATCATGCAAAAGTAGGGTTGTTGCCCGCTTGGGTGCCGCTCTCAACACGGGTCCAGTTCAGAGAGCCAACGCCGGGAATATTGCGTTCTTCCCTTGCCTTGCTTTCACCAAAGTGGCTTGGCAGAAAGCCTGCAAAGCCCTAATGCCCAGTCCTCGAAGGACTCCGCACTGCTTAGCGCCTCGGCAGTCGCCAGCCAATTCTTCATTTACTCGCAGATCAAGGCAGTGAGGGTGAAGGGTCTGTCTAAGAACGGCACATGCATCTTACTGCAAGGCTGAAGAATTTTGTGCATTTTGAGGGTTGGCACTGCTGGAGTGGCGAAAGGCTTGAGATTCCAATGGCTCGGATTTGAAGTTAGGAGGGCATTGGTTTGAGTTTGTAGTCACACCAGCTGTCATGGGCTGCACCCGAATCCTGCCTGAAGCGCTAAAAGTAAGGGCATTTGAAGTTCCCACCGTTCGTCAGAGACTAGCACTGACGTAGCAGTAGCTCGCATAGCTTTGCAGTGAGTATGGCATCAAGGTGCGAAAACGTGCCGACTGCACAAATCCTGCCCATGCCTTGAACCTCAAAAACTTGCGCCCAAAAGTCCCAATACCCTAAAACCCTTAACCCACAACCTCTTACTGTAGGGCCTGAGGCGGGCTGGATGTTTAGGGTGTTGGCACACTTTGCCCAAGCGTTGTGTCTTCAGCTGTCCGAGGTCATATGCCGCACATGCCCTACACCCTAGCAGCCCTAACGGCCCTCTTTCGGCCTTTCGATAAGTCGTTTAGGTTCTGAGAAGCACAATCGCCGTCGTCGTATCCGGGCAAAGTCTAGGGCCTACGCCTACGCCGGCATAATGGCCGTGCTCAGGGTTCTGAAGGCTGGTTTAAGGCTGCCTGGGTCAGGAGTTCGGTGCCTTAGTCTTTGCGGCGACGATGAACGTGCGCCAGGCACGGGTTGGGTTTACGCTTGACTCCGAGATGGAAGTTTGGGGATGTTCTGCCTCAGGGAGTGTTCGCGCCTAGCGAAGTGGTAAAAAGGGGCTCGGTCTGGGCTCTTGGTTTGACAAACTTTCATTTAGGCTAGGGGGCTTCTGGAGCGAAGGATTTCAGAGCGATTTCAGTTTAGGGCTGACAACATGAGCTAGTGCTTTCCACATCCATCGCGGGATGGATCCCCCGCACTGAGGACTGGTTCATTTCGCGCTTGCTAGTGTTTAGGATTGATATTTGTCTCTATCTATGTGTCTGATTTGTTCCTCATGTCAACACCAAGGGGTCCCAAAGCGAAGGGTAAAAGGGGCTCAGTCGATGTAGCGTCGGCGATGAACTGCAGAAAATGTTTTTTTCTCGAAGCCAGCCTGCATTTTGGACGAAAGTTACGCTTTTGGACGGTGCCCATAGACACGATCCTCGGGACAATAGCTGCTTCTCAAGCCCCGGGGCATGGATAAAAAGTTGCAAGGGGCCGAGTTCGGGCTTGGAAAATATGGCATCCGCGCACAGACCTTAACAAACCCCCCAAAGTACCACAAGCCCTGAACCTGCAGACTTCCTAAACCCCAGTTGCCGTGTACGCAGTATCAAGGTTTATTCTTCAGCTGTCAGATGCCTTGGGCTTACTACAAGCAGCGTTTTAGAATATTTTAGAGACTTAAGGGCTGCCGGCTGGGGTTTGTAGAGCGTATGAAGTCTGAGGGTGCTAGAGGGTGCCTGGGCTGCGGGCCCTTGAACTCAAGCCTTGAATGTCTAAACCTCGTAGGGAGCCGAACGCAGCAGGGTACCAGTAGTTTGGGACGAGCCCGTATACTTTGTTTGTTTGGTTTCGCTTGGGGATCTGTGCATCCGGACTTTGCGATTCAAAAAAATACCAAGCAGACAGCCTTTACCCCCAAAACGCAACAGAGATTCCGACTTGCTCTGATTGTTCGAGAAAGCTCCCAAGCACACCCGGCAAGCCTTTGGGAGCACGAAAAGCTTGAACCCAGAACCAGCCAGAACCGAAAACCAAGCCCTCAAAGTGCAGGTGGTGTCGATTCTCGTTTCCTATCTCAAGCGCCTCAGACTGCTACGGCATTAGGATTCCATTTCGTCTTGAGGTTTGGCATTTGGGGCTTGACCCTCGACTTTCAAACAAGGTTGAAGAGCGCAGCTTGGGTTTGGGTGTGGGGCGTGGGAGTCAAGCGCCATTGGCTCTTGGCGTGTTGCATGCACGCCACGCCAAACCACCTCAGAACGTGGCCAGGACAAGAGATTCATGCATGTGTCGGCATGGGCTACGTGACACAGGGTCTGGGCGCATGCCTGCGCGTTGCAGAAGCGCTAGCAGCTAGCCAGGCACGGTTCAGGACTGATTCAGCTGTGGCCAAGACAACTGCACCAAGTCTTCTGGCATCATTCGCACTATCAGCTCTGCATTGGAAGTCCCCACCGAGGTACCACAATCCGGTGACGCCACTGCAGATCCTGGGCTTGGTGCGGGACCTGGCGGGCTTGGAGTGTGGAGCTTTAGGCGGCTTTGGTGCCTGCGGGTGCACTTGGGGTTCCTGTGATCTTCCATCCGCCAGATTGCAGTGCAAAGGGTTTGTGTGTCAATTTGTGCGCGTTTGCACACAGCACACAGTTGTCAGGATGTCTGGCCTGCCTCACACCTGCCCTCGGATCGGCAGTCCTTCTCGAAGAAAAGCTTGTGAGCGTGGCCTTGAGGCCTTGAGGGTGCCCGCACCCTCAAGGCAAAGGAATTGGCCAACAGACGAAGATGGTAATCGAGCCCGAGTCTCTTGGTCTCTTGGTGGACAGGCCTTCGACCCTGTGGCCGCGCAAGGAAGAAATATACACCGAATAAGCGGCATCACTGGCAGGATCCCTGCAAGCGGTCGCAAGACAGGGAGAAGCCGAGCCAATGCAGAATGAGGCGACAATGGCTCACTTCACCTTCCCTTGTTGCTCGGGAGAAGCGTTGTGATTGGATCTTCGGGCTGCGCTGCCCAAATGGGAGTCTTCCCATGTGTCTTCGCTAAGAAGCGGGAAAACAAATCCGCTGTGCCTGACCAACCGTGGCCAACAACGAACAGTGCATCTCGAATGCAGTTGTGACTGTCGAATTTGCCGACGAAACCCGAGGATTGGTCGCTCAACTGCCCCATTGCACTCGCGGCCGCTTCAGCCAGTGCCCCTGATTGAGGGCACACCACCCGATATGATGATTACCTCAGACCTTCAGTGATGGCCATTCCCTAAACCCGGTGCACCATACTTGGCAGAGGCGGCACACAATTGGCAGAGGCTACGCTCCTTGCGGTCACTGTGGATTGTGGGACAAACCGCGGTCCAGCCTGCGGCTGGTCCTCTCCATCCTCTTCCCCCTCCCCTCCCCTCCGTCCCTCCTCCTTTCGGTCCTACCTTCCTCGCCTTCGATCCTTCGCGGATGCGCGGAATCGGATGGACATGGGCGCGTGCGTTTGTGGATGGGTGGGTGTGCGGAGGCGTGCGTGTTTTGCAAGGTTGAAAGGGCTCGAGGGCTTCAGGTTCTTGATTTCTAGCATGAACTTAATATTGACGAGGGTGGTGCGGTTGGGCTCCGAACATGTCGCTTCTCACAGTCGTTGCTGAGGAGGTGGCCGCATGCCCCCGGTACTTCAGAATATCGGGTTGAAACAGCCCGGTTTCTAGTAGGAGCAGCAGATATCTGAGGTTCCATGCCAGGGTTTCACCATCAACCATGCCTTCCTTTTGCATGCGAGCGATCTTGCAAGTTTGCTCGAAGGCGCTCATCTTCTCCGCCCTTTTCTATAAGTCTGCAGCCGCGATGTTGGAAGCACCTTCCAAGGAGGTGACAGACTGAGCGGTGCTTGAAACAGGTGTTTTCAGCCGTTGATCTGAGCTAGAGCAGGAACTGTCTCCACTAGTTGCTCCTCAATGCAGGGGGGCTTTGCATCTCCGGAATGTACGGGTTGGGCGTGATCGTACCTTCCACACGCTTTGTGTTTGTGTGTCTGGGTTGCCATTATATTCCAAATAAATGCTGCTTTAGTTGTGGCTAAGCACCTTCCCAGTGTGCGGCACCAAACCTCAGTGATCGCTGCTGAGCATGCTTTAAAATGAGATGTCACACTGCAAGCCGAATGCAGACCACTGCAGACCTCCAGTTCTCAGTTTCCAAAATCGTATCCATCCTCAAGGTTGCAAACTTATGATGCAGCCACCAAACACCACTTGGATAGCAAAGCTTCGGTGGAAGGAGAAGAAGCCCATCCTGGAGGATGCCAAGACCAAGGCGTGCTGCATACCTAATGTCAGGAGACGCGTAGCATCACTGAAGTACAATCAAGCACCATCATCCTGCCAGTGTTTCTGCGTTTTCCTTTTGATCCTGGGTTTGGATATTGGATGCTTTCAGCACATAAAGATCTACGAAAGGATCGCATGTTGCTGGCGCTATCGCGCGCCGCCTCGGCTTGCATGCATGGCCGTTGCAGTGCCGACGATTTCGAGGAAAGGGCCCCAGACCCGAACGCCCCAAGCCAAAGGTTGGCCGATCAGCTGCGGCGCAGGTTTGAGGGGGTTGGGCCCCGAGAATCCCAGGTTTCAACAGCTCGCAATTTGAATCGAACACATTGAAAGCCCGCAAGCACCGAAACATGTTTTTGTCCGATCAAGAGGCGGCTTGGGGTCCCAGGATGGTGCCGCGAAGCTTTAGGGTCCAATTTAAGGTCTTTCTAGGATGAGCTTTTAAATCGTGTTTTGTTCTCCCGGATTTTTCCGGAGTACAGGCCATAACCGTTCATGGTTCAGACGAGTTTCGGTTTCGTCATGCATCGCGCCTGACATCGCCTGACCCATGTTTGTGATCACACAGTCGTTGGTGGCTGCGGGATCAAGAGTGGCACTGGCTTGTGGGCTTGTAATCCGTTAGGGCCGGCATGCTGGGGAGCGGACTTTTACGCAAGGCAAGGCCCCTGCGGTGCTCGGTATTGGTTTTTGCTAGCAGAGTCGCAGCGGGCCAGATGCAAAAAGGCCCCCGCGGATTTTCTAGCCGGGTTTTCGCCGATTTCGTTTTCAGGCTTCTTTGCCTTTTAGAAATCCCCTCAAAAATCGCCGTGTGACGTCAGCCGCGACATTGGCCCAGAGTCGCGGTCCCCAAGTCTTATTTCTTCAACATAGGAATGAAGCAAGGGAAAAAAGAGTAACCATTTCTTCTGAACAAGAAGTGGTTCTATCATGCTCTCTCTATCGTTACACAGAGCAGTATCTGTATAGTAGAGATGGACACATGTGCTCTGAGTCGGGCACGGTGGCATGTAATCAACCGATGGGTAGTCGGGGCATGTCGGGGCTGGACCTGCAGGAAACATGGGTGGGGCAACTTGATTGGCTTCCATTGTCTTTGATTCCTTTGGCCAGAAAAAGCTTCCTCGCAGCCCACCAGGCCGAGGAAGCCATCGAAACCTCGACGGACAAGGATGCCGGTAAGGTGGTCTGAGCATGTCTGAGCATCGTGGTTTGTGACGTTTGTTGCAACATGCAGTCAAAGACTGCCCATCACGAAATCATGAGTCAGAAGATCTGACTGACTTCCAAAAAGAGCTCACTGGCCGGCTTAGACGTCGACCCCAAAAGCCGCAGGGCATGGTCTTACTGCTTCCGTCCGCAAGTTGTAAAGCAGCCTTTGATGAGGCAGCATGGACCAGGCTGTTGAGTTTCGGCTAAGGCATTGCAGAGGCCACCGGCATCCCGGCCAATCGGCAGGAGCAGCCGAGGGGTGTGCGCATACCGCGTGCGCATCAAAACCATATCAAGCCAAATTCAAATCAGGGCAAAAATGTAGGGCGCACTCGGCGGGTCGATTTTGGGAGTGACTCGTCCGCAGAAATTGCCTGAGACATAACGTGCAAAGCAAGAGCCCATGTCAATGTGGAGGGAAAGCAACTCATTCAAAGTTTAAGTTGCTTTCGGAGTCAGGTCTGCGCAGGGCTGATTCCAGGGTTGTTCATTGCCAATGATTCTAACAGTTGCTTAACCTCGGGTACGTCGCAACCTGAATTCACAGCCATGTGAGGAGCTGAAGCTTGTCGCGGCCTGAGGTGACACCCCTCACCGAAGCCACAGAAGTGTCCGAAATCTTGAAAAAGTCGCTGGCTGGATTGTCCAAGTGGTGAACGCTTCTCTTGCTAGAGTTCTCGTATGCTCTCGCTGAACCTAAAAACTCTGAATTCCGAACCTTGAAGCGTTCGCGGGAGAGAGAGCGAGAGAGGGCATGACGTGAGAAAATCATCACATATATCTTCTTATGTCACAGCCCATTCCCTCAACATGTCAGAGAATACCTTAATTCTTAAGGCCCCGCCTACGCTCTTAAACTGTTTGGGGCTGGGGGGGGGGGGGGGGGGGGCAGGGTGCACGTCCATGCTTGCATGCACATGGAATGTAACGATTTGTAACTATGGTTATTGACTTGGACAAGTATACGTCATATACTGCTCATGATGTTTTCGCGATAAGTATAGTTAGTGCAAGTCTTCCCCGGCAGACATGTTTTGTGCTGCCGAAACTAGATCGAATAAGTGCACTTAGTGTAGCGCACGGGGCACAGCATGGTCCAGAGCCGAATCACTTTCCCAAGAGGCTTTGGCAAGCAGGAAGCTGGGAGAGATGTCGCATGAAGCAGAAAAACTGAAACTGTACCGTGGAAAGCAGGCGCACTTCCTCATCTGACTGGCTCCCTCATGTCCTCGTGAATGAACAGCACTGAAGCCCGCATTCGAAACTTATGCAGTTCGGATTTTTGTCATGACATGTCATGACACTCGGCCTGACTTCTTTCCACAAGTCCGACCTCCGTATGCGACAGACGACCCGAATCGATGCCAGGTTGTGTACCGTAGATGGTACATTGAAGCCTCTGGTCGTGACCAGCGGAAGGGTTCCCTGCCGCGTGAGTTATGTTATGGGTACATCAGTCGGGGGACGAAGTGTGCGAGTATGAGCCTCGAAATCGGCAAGACGTGGTTCGCCGAGGTGCGCACTAAGGCAAATGCATCGCAGCAAGACAAAGCAAAATCAAAAGGTGTCCAGAAAACTGTTTATGAGGCCTCGGCTGAGCTCCTTGGGGAAGGCGACGAGCGACAGAGTGCCTACAAGGCACTTGGGGCCTAATAACCATCATGAAGTTGTCTTTCGGGGCCGTGGAGCAGATTTGGCGTCTAAGCTACGATTGCACTTCCCAGCCCCTCGTGGCCCTTCCAAAACTAAAGCCATGTGCAAACTTTCCCCTAAGCCCAGCCTAAACCCGATAAGGCCTTAAGCTTCATCCTGGATCGCCCAGACACATCGTTCCTGCGCCTTGCGTTCCATGCAGTCCATGGCACTGTCGGCGGTTTCAGAAAGGGTATATTGTGGGCACGACTCCGAAAGTGCTCTTTGATGCCATCAGCTGCAAAAGGGTTTCGCAGCTTTGGCTTTGCCCGTACTGAATGCGAGACCTTGGTTAGCTGTTAGCTAGTGGCTTATGCTACATCTGAGGAGTTGTCGAAGCAGTGCTGAACAATGGAGCTCATGAACTACAGCCGCCATCGAGCTTTGCCAAGATACCAAGCCTGCACGATGCTTTCAACTTCGGAGACTGTCCACCGAAGGAACGAAGAAACCTGGACGAAACACAACAGCTCCTCACCCGCAGCATTCTGTCACAACTTGGCAGGGTGGCAGCATCCGGACGCCTGGTGCCCAGTCCCGAACGTTTAGTGGGTATGAGCTTCGCGTTCATATGCAAATGATGCAGATGTAGGGTGAGTCATGTGCGCCAAACAGCATCAACGACAGGCAAGTTCTCAAGGCATAGCTGACTGAGGATCTGGCTGGAGGACCTGCGAACACCCGAGGCAAGGTGGGAGTACGAGCCACTCCGGTACGTTCAAAGAGCATGTGGCAGAAAAAGGCGTAGCTGGGCCATTTCAGGCTGACATGTTCAGCAATGTGCTGAGTGTTCCTCCGTGCCCATGCCCGACGCGCCCACAGTTCCATGTAAATAACCTCAACGACGCTTTAGCTCATGTCTGGGGGGGGGGGGGGGGGAATGTTACTGCACAATTTTTCTGGGCACACATCTGAGCTTTGCTGTCAAATGGTGTGAGTGTAAGGCGTGCTGAAGGAATGCAAGCATTAGGCGTCTGCCGGCAGTTGCTGCGCACTAGAAGTAAGGACCAAGGCAGAGCAACGATCATCATGATCTCCCTACAGATACGCCGCTCAGCGTCACAACCTTTCCTTACCCCAGTCGACATTGGTCTCCCATAGTCTTGCGATGGTCTGAGGGGCTTATGAACCTAAGCATAGACGGAACCTTATCGCACAGAGTTGCTGTCCGATCGGCCCAGGAGGAGAGAGGTGGCGAGAATTGTATCTTGAGCCATGTGCTCGCAGGAGAAGGGTGAGAAAGAGGAGACCATCATTGACCAACTGCAGCAGCGCGGCACTCTGTCGAGTACGGCGGTGGCAGATCGACAGACTTGACGGTCAATATTCCGAAACTTATAGAGTCCGCAGGACTGGCTCCGCATGATAGGTTCCAGCGAAAATAGAAATTCCAAACGTATAGTAGCTTGAAATTCACCGTCCGCGCAGTTTCTGGAAAGCCAAGTAGTGATGTGCACCAAGGTTGTGGAAGCTGGATAACGTGACGGTATTGAGAATGGGCCCAAGAGGAATTGTGTTTTGCGGGGTTTGAAGGATTTGTTGGTTTCAGTATCGTTCTTTGGCCGCTTCTTGCGGCGTGGTGCTCAATCAAGTTGTGACGCCCCTCAGCCCCCCGAAAGCCTGAAAGCCCAAAATGCTTGGACCCGGGCTGTATGGATGTTCGTTTTGAAACCATCGAAACAAGGCCTTAAACTTTTTAAGTGTGAGCTGCACATGTGCACTTTCGCGTACTCGGAGCCTCAGAGGTAGTCTCAAAAGGCAAAAGACTGGGGGGGCTGGAGTGTTTGAGCCCTAAGGCCAGAAGCTTCAATGCATTTAGGGCCCCTCAGCCCCAAAGGCTCAAGGCCTGAACCCCCGTGCCGGACAGTCCCGACTATACTAAACTGAGAACAACGTTATCTTCTGAGAAGTGCAAAGCCTGTTGGGGGCCAACCTCCAGCTGCAGGTGCCTTGCTGGTCGTCTATACCTTCATCAAGGACACGAGCCCCTAGGAGATTGTGGCCGACTGAAGATAGAACTGAAGTAACTACTTACTATGCATGCCCAGGAAGAAGCCCCCCGAAGACTCCCGAAGCCCAAAGCTGAGTCACGGCCCAAGAGTCGGCAGCTCCAATGTTTCCCATTGTTTGTCTTGCTCAGAGCTGACATGGCCTCTGAGCACGGTTCCTTGAATGCCTGGGCTGATGATTTTGTTTGCCCTGGGAACCTCCCCAAACCAAACCAGCACCCCAGCAAGATGTCTTCAATCACATCATCGTATATCATCGTCTCCACTCTCGACCTTGCGGTTTCCCAATGACTGGAACATGCCCAACATTTCTGAACACCACACCCGAACCAACAGGGGTAGCAGCGACGCGATGCACCTGTGCATGTTGTGGCCTGCAGGAACTCCTGCCGCTCTTTGTCGAGGGTGTGAAGAACCCACTGGAGGCACCTTCAAGGGGCTTAAGATGCCAGGTCTACGTCGTGGATGTAGGTGTTGTCAAAGAGTTCGAGGGGCTTGCGGAGATACTTGAAGCGTCTGCAGTCCTCGGACAGCATGCGCCGCAATTTCTCCCGCAAGACCTTTTTGCACGTTCTCGGTGTGGATTGCGTAGGCTTCGGTGTTCATTAAAGGGCCGCTGGAGCTGCAAGAAAAAAGCATTTAGGGTTAAAGGTGTTTTGGAGAATATGAAAACATGAAAAAACGCAGTATGCTGGATGCAAAGAGGTCTGGGCCTTTACTTTTACCAACGTATGTGTGAGGACCTGCCATGGCAGCCGGGAATGGGCCTCAGCAATGAGCATGTCAAGGCTGGCATGGCTGATGCTGTATGTTTGTAGATTCGGTTCACACATGTTCACACCGTCACAGTCATCCCAGTACTTCAGTGATGGCACAAAAGAGCGCTTACTTGCAGCAGACTTCTCGAATCAAACTCAAGAAAAAGAGTTCGGATTTTATTGTTGGCGCTATTTGGCGGGGGCCAAACTTGTCTGTGTTTTGGGTTCCGGGGTGCTGCTTCCAAGGTCCCATCGACCAGTTTCCGCCATCGGCCTTCTGAGCGCGGGACATGCTCCTGCTTTCTCAGTTTCTTCGGCCGCCGCGTAGATTTCATAGACGTGGTTATTTGGAGATGGAAAATTCAGAAACCCTGCCTTCGGCTATGAACTAAGGAGCTTGAGCAATGGTTTTGCACTTGCTTCCTCTGCGCGGCGTTCCATTTTCAGGCATCTGGTTCCGGGGCTCGAGTGTTGGCAAAGTACGAAGTACGGCACAGACCTGGAGCAGCAATAGGTGTCAC